GTTGTTATATACCTGGATGACTGAGAAAACAAACTTTGTGTTTTTGAAACCATTAGTGAAAAGGCCAGACTTCAGGGGTATCTGAGGCAGGCTTGAAACACAAGAGTCAGGGTGGCTTCTGGGTAATACCAGATGGCTAGGCCTCAGACTGACGAAGCCTCTTGGATGAGGGGCGAAACGTTTCTTTTTAACAAAATAAACGAAGTCCAGATGACATGATTCAACCTTTTTTGTTACTTAATAGTATATTTTCCTCAAATGATTGGGGTGGCTGAAGATCTACATCATCTACATCAATACATTAATATATGGTGGCCAAGGCCACCACTGGCCACCCCATGGCCCCACCAATGAGCCTGGTTGTGGTAAAATTGCTCCATCCCTCACCAGGATCTGTCATGTTGTGTTGCTACAGACAAGCAAAAATAAAACCTCCCGCTGGTCTTATACACAGTGTAAGTCCTAACCACTCGGATATCTTGCACCAAAATCACTGAGGTTTACGTGCATTCACTGTTCAATTCCAGTCCAGAAAAATACTCTCCTCCAAAATCACAAACATTCACTATTCAAATCTTGTGTGAAGATTACTGGTTATGCTGTCTCGTGTTTGATGGTCACCTTTACTGCTTAGAGGTTCTGATTTTGGGACTGTCAGTTCTGCTGAGACCCTTTGACACTTAGCTTGCTCATACAGTGGTGCTTGAAAGTTTGTGAAGCCTTTATAATTTCTATATTTCTGTATAAATGACCTAAAATATCATCAGATTTTCACACAAGTCCTAAAAGTAGATAAAGAGAACCCAGTTGAACAAAAGAGACAAAAATATTATACTTGGTTATTTATTTATTGAGGAAGATGATCCAATATTACATATCTGTGAGTGGTAAAAGTATGTGAACCTCTAGGATTAGCAGTTAATTTGAAGGTGAAATTAGAGTCAAGTGTTTTCAATCAATGGGATGATGATCAGGTGTGAGTGGACACCCTGTTTGATTTAAAGAACAGGATCTATCAGAGTCTGATCTTCACAACATGTTTGTGGAAGTGGATCATGGCAGGAACAAAGGAGATTTCTGATGACCTCTTAAAAAAAGTTGTTGATGTTCATCTGGTTGGAAAAGGTTACAAACCATCTGTAAAGAGTTTGGACTCCACCAATCCACAGTCAGACAGATTGTGAATAAATGAAGGAAACCCAAGACCATTGTTACCCTCCCCAGGAGTGGTGGACCAACACAGATCACTTTCTCTCTGCAATTCTGCTGATCATTTACACGACACCAGTGGCCCCCCCTCTTTGAATCCAGAGGTTTCTGAATCCACCTTCCAGAGTGGAGGTTTTTCGCTGACCCCCGCTGATAATGTAAACATCTCCCGCTGAGGCTTTGTGTTAAACCACATGTGCACACACACACGCAGACAGACGCTATATTTCTATCAACATGGCGGTGGACACAGGGCTTTCTGAGCTATGACTGATGGAATATATTTTTTATCTCGTAGTTAATCTAAGTCGAATTCCAGGTGCTGTGACCGACATCTGTGTTGGAAGAGGCACAATCTGATCCAGTTCTAATGTCGCTGTTTATAGAACGAGCCTGTCAAGGAACGCACACACGTCGTGCTGCACTATAACATACTAAATATGCTAAATAATAACTGCTTAATAATAATAAACAGTATTTATGTTAGTGTGAGAGATATAATGAAGCTCTGAGCTAAATGAAGCTATCTGGGCATTATGTAATTCAAATTGTGTGACTAAAGTGATGCGAAACATATTGCCTGTTACTAAAGTTGAAAATGAAGACATCAGGTTTAATTTTTATTTATTTATTCAACACTACAAACTATATGTCACACAAACACTGATAATTAAACTGAGCACATAAAAGCACGTTAATCAAACTGTAAACAGCATTAATGAAGGCTGTGACTCCTTAGCTTAATTTAGATCAAAATATTGAATGGATTGAATAAAATAACTGAGGGGAATTTTAAATAAATAGTTCATCCAACATCTCTCTCTTCGACGTCCTCCTGCACTGCACCTGGGCCGAGCCTCGTTCAGAACCGGTCCGCCTAGTGGAAGGACAGGTTCTTCTTCTTTCAGGAAAAAATAAAAACTCAGTTGGTTGTTGTGTGATCAAAGTAAACACAAGCAAACATTATTAAGAACGTTGATTTACCTGCTGTAAATCAGCTACTGATGATCACGGAGTAAAGATCGACATCGTCGACTCGGTTCTTGTCCACTCAGCGACCGGTGTGGAGCTGTTAGATGAAGCGGTCCCACTTGTCGTCAAATCTGTCGACTCTTATCCAAAATCCAGCCAGAATCCAGCTTTAACTTGTTATTAAGTTGTTCTTAGCTGAGCTTTTAGCCCAGAGGAAAGGAGCATGCTGAGGCAACACGTATGCGCATTAGATGAATGTACAAAATTCACAGCGCCATCTAATGACCCGGCATGGTAACTACAGCAGATTCGGTGGGGTTGGGGGTATTCCTCTGGATGCATGTAAAGTCTAAATTCGTCTGTGTCAATGTGGATCTTTTCTTCTAATTAACATACGAAAAAACCTACGTTTCCCCCCGTACCGTGTCCGTGTAAATAGGGCATAAGAGCAAGGTGTGGAATAGTCAGCGAGGTCACAAAGGAGCCCAGGACAACTTCTAACAACTGAAGGCCTCTCTCACGTTGACTAATGTTCATGAGTCCACCATCAGGAGAACATTGAACAACAATGGTGTGCATGGCAGGGGTTGAAGTTAAAGCCACTGCTCTCCAAAAAGAACATTGTTGCTCGTCTATAGTTTGCTAAAGATCACGTGGACAAGACAGAAAACTGTCACACCAGATATTGAAAGAAAAAGTTCATATACTTTTACTCTCAAACTTGTAATATTGGATCATTTTCCTACGGTGGCTGATGGGTGCAAAACAACTGCAAACAGTGAAAACAAATGCAAACAGTGAAAACAACTGCAAACTCAGTCCACAAAATGGAAGTGCTACAGACCACTGGGGCAGTCAAACAAATAACTTTTTTGTGAAGCTTTTTGTGTTTGCATTTTATTTTTGTGTTTGCATGTGTTTTTTGTGTTTGCATGTGTTTTTTTGTGTGTTTGCATGTGTTTTTTGTGTTTGAATGTGTTTTTTGTGTGTTTGTATGTTTTTTGTGTTCGCATGTGTTTTTTTGTGTTTGCATGTGTTTTTTGTGTTTGCATGTGTTTTTTCTGTGTGTTTGCATGTTTTT